CAAAAAAACCATCATTTCCAAAAAAGTGCTACATTAGCTCAACAAGTGCTCATTTCCAAAAAGTGCTTAAAAAGTGCTCAGAAACAAAAAACGCTACATGGGCTCTCCACAACCCACATCATTCGCCGCTGCTGCAAGTAAGGCATCAAATTCACTTAAAATCAAATTCTTTTGAGCTTGGTCCCAATGTGCATCCTCCCCAGGAAGCATAAATTAGGAGATAGATGCTAATTTAGATGCAAAACTCGCTTCCAGGATTGGCCTCAACTAGCTTGAGTGTGGGCTAACTTCGTGGATTTCTCCAAGAGTTTAATAGATCCATAGGTGTAAAATGGGTTAGAACCCCAAAAAGTGCTCATATCCATTGAAACCGCCAAAAAGTGCGCAGACCCTTAAAAAACGCTCAGGAATGGCAGAAAGTGTATCCAACCAGGGGTTTGCCAGAAAAAAGTGCTACAATGGAATCTCCAGGTCAAGTCAAATCACCACACGATTGACCTTTTCCACCATGACATGTTTCTTCCACCAAACTTGGTCATCAGGAATTCTAGGGCTAGGCAAAGCAGAGACTGGTTTCAAGATGAGTTTTGTGAATGGACATTCCATATGGAACGTGCTTGTGGTGCGCGTGTAAAAACCACATTGAGTAATCCTGAGATGCTTCTCACGCTCTAACTTCCATACGCAGGTGCAAGAGCAAATTGCCTGTGAGATGCATTCCACCTTCATTCAAACTGCTGCAGGAAAGGGCAAAACTAAACTGCCTGTGAGATGCTTCCCACAGCCTGACCAAAGCAGCAAAGTACAAAGACATACAAAAAGCATACCGTCAGTGAGATGCGTCCACCATATGAGCACGCAGCAGTTGCAGCCCCTAAGGAGCTTCCACAGCGCAAGTGCAACGCAAGGGTGCAAAACTCTTACCAAGACAGATGCTATCAACTTTGCTCTGGACTAACTTTGGATTGGTGACCCAGACAGTTCATGACTTACCTTGTTGAGTCCGAACCTGGTAGTGCTCCTTGGTAGTATCAAGACTTGGGTCTCGGCCAACGGTGAAGGGCAAACATTGTTCCACAGTGGGCAAATTTGGCGCCGCTGAAAGTTGAAAAGTTGAATTGAGTTCGTGACTGCTGTGAGAAGTTTTGGGACAGCTTAGGTTGCGATTGGTTGCGTGATGGATACCGAGCGTTGGGCGCTGTTTCAAAGCATCCAAACTTCGACAGTGATCATCCTGCCCTCTACGGAAAACCAACTGGACTTTGTATCCGAACCCGCTTTATTCATGGATGGTGAGTTTTTTGCTTGCAAGCAGACCTAGGGTCCTGTGTTTCTCATGTGGGCCACATCTACGACCCCCGTCAATGGAATCTAGATGAAAATATGCTTCCCAGCATGACGAAAATGCAGGTCAAAACCTGTAGTGGCAGCAAGCCTTGCCAAAACTAGAAAACAGTTCTGCAGACTCTTATTTTGAATCGCAAATCGAGGGACGGATGTTGGTCTCCCTTTGTGCGCCGTGCTTACCTAGACAACCATCTGTACCTTTTTCTTATGGTACGAAATATTGATAAATATTTTCTAGACGATCTGAAATTTTCCCTGCGTTTCCCAAAAGAACATACGAATCCAAAAAATCTTGACGAACTGTTTATTGGTCATATACGTGGAGTAGAACGCTCACGAACTCACAGCCCAGTCGTAGTTGAACCCACTTCGCCAAATATTTGGCAATTGCTCGAGAAGTCTGATGCACGAAACTATCAAACGATATCATATATCACTTTATCCGCCACAACGCAGGAGACAGAGCGGTTCAGCTAGTGAAATAAGTGCTCCATGTGTTTGCGGTGAGAGACATTTTGTAAGTATAAGTGGTCCCTCCGTCAAGAGAACTCCGACTTGTACCCGTACAGCCTAGATCTTCAAACAGCCGCCTTTTTCTGCTCGAGTTTCTCTTGCAGAATCCTTGGAAGAAGTGCGTGGTGTGGAGAAAAATGCGCGTTTATCAAAAAGTGCTCGGATTCAAGTCCTTGGCACTCAAACTGCTCTTCAAACAGCACACTTTTTTTAATTGCGCTCGATTGCGCTAAATTGTGCTCGTTTGCGCCGATTTGCGCTCGTTGTTGCACACTGCATCTTCATTGCTGCTGCGAACCTAAAGCCTCACACAACACATGAATGTAAAAAGGGTTCGTTTCGGCAAATTCTGCTCGTTTTGCCAATAAGTGCTTGTATGATGGAAAAATGTTCGAACATCAAAAAAATGGGAATTGTACGAAAAAGAGTGCGCGTTTGAAGATCTATAGGACTACATGATACTACATGTGTTGGCATGCAAAATCACAAAAGCTAGCAGTACCTAGAAAGCCAAGTCGCAGGGAAAAAAGGGTGACTGACAAAAGTCGCATGTCTTGTCCGAAAGTCGCAAGCCTAGGAAAAGTGACGCAACTCCACGTTGGAGAAATCCGACACAGTTTTCACGTGTTTTGTTTCTTTGCGACAAACAAGAGTGAAAAAGGCACGAACAAAATGTGAAAAAGGCGTGAAAAAATGTGAAAAAACATGAATCTGAAAAACTGTGTTTTGTTTCCCTTTGAACATTTTGCGCACTTCTTGCGCATAAATATACTGCGCGCATGGAATCCGAAACCCAAAAGTCGCATAGTAGTGGTGAAAGTCGCATGATAAAGCGCGGTTTTACCTAAAGTGACAGGTTTTACAAAAGTCGCAAGAAATATGCTGCAACTTTGGCGTTCTAGGTAGCTAGCTAGAGTTTATTCTTGCTTCAGCAAGGGAGGGGCAGGTCTGAGTCCGACACGGTGATTTTTCACCTGAAACCCCTTCCCCTCCCCACCTTAGCTCCCGGGACATTTTGAAGCAGTGTTGGAAGCAAGTGGTCACGGGCTCATCCTGCCAGAGCGTGCCCAGATTCCAAGACAACATCTATTTCCATCATCCGACCATGTTCCGGATGTTTAGTTGCTGTGGATAATCTATATTCAGCATAGAAAACCCCGTCGTGTTTCCAGGCTCATACGAACCTTCGCTTTCGTTCCCCTTCTCCTGCGCCTCTGGTTGCCGTGAGGCACGCTGTGCCTGGGTATAGTCAGCGCTTGGGCATGTGGGAAGAACCCTGGAGCTTCAAAAGTGCACTAATTTCTGTTCGAGCAAATTTCTGCTTGAGGAACCCAAATCTGCTCGTTTTACCAATTTCTGCTCGAGGTACAGCTAGATTTGAAAATAACCACTTTTCAAATGTGCGCTCGTTTGCGGGAAATTGCGCTCGATTGCGGGAAATTGCGCTCGTTGTGCGGCCTGTTTTTTTTGAATCAGCCACAGGCAGTGAAAACTCAAGAAGTGCTCGTTTGGCAAATTTCTGCTCGTGATGGAAAAATGCGCTCGATTTGCCAAAAACATATACGAACAAGCAAACAACCAGAAATTAATGCTCGAAGATCAAGGACTGTAAAGTCAGGCAGGAGGCTTTCCGTCGAACCAAGCCGCCTGACCTCTTGTCACCTACTTTCACCTGCTGTCACCTACTGTACTTTCACTGTTCTCACTTTGCGCAACCTGTTTTCAGCTGTTGTCACCTACTTTCGCCTGCTCTGACCCATGGAAACCTATAAGAAGACGCGCAGATTGATGTCTCCCCTAACTGCGCCGTACCCAAAGAATTTCCTCGAAGCACAAAACTAACCAAAAAGACCGTTTTGGAACATGTGTTTGAACACAAGATTCCCCTGAAGTACGCCGTCTTCTGGTGTCTGGGAAGACGAGCTGTAAAGTCAGGCCGCGGGCTTCCCTTCAAACCAAAGAGGCTGCCCCAACCACGTAGACACGTAGACTCTAGGTAGACTCGTGGCCATGGAAACCCACAAGAAGATGCACAACTGGAATATGAAATGCCTTCACGCCATTGCAAATGGAAAGGGGGGTGTCACCAAGCACTTAGACTCTCGGACGCTTGGGGGGCTGCAAGAAGTGAGAAGATCTGTTTTGCAGAGGTTCATGGTATCCCAGCAGCTATGGTCCTCCAGCCCGCAGCAAGCAGGCTGCATGTGTGCACCTATTTTCTCATTTGAACCCCCTCAGGATCGAAAAGGATCCCTTCGGTCGCGCAGAGATTGTTTTTCTGGTTGCTCGAGATGTTGAAAACTTTTCTCATGAGACGTAGCCGCTGTGAAACCAGCTGGTTCAGATACAGGACCATAGGTTACCGTTTACCAAGAATTTTTGACGCTTATATGGGAAAGTTAGGCGAATGTTTGTAGTGTAAATTTCCGTGCAATTTCTGGTGCCAAATCTCATCCGTTTTCCAGTGGTGGAAAGCGATGACGGTGACCCTGTGAAAAGTAAACGTGTTCCCGTAGAGCGAATGGCAAGACGGTCGCAGGGAAATGATACCGAATACCTCGCCCTTCCAAACGCCCTTCCTAGCGGGGCGGTTGCTTAAAAGCCCTTCCTAAAAGGGCGGTTTGCCTAAAAGGGCATTTTTTTGTGGAAAATGCAAGTTGCAGTTGTTCCAAACAGCATGCAGCTTGCGCATTTGATAATGCCAACCTTTGCATGCAGCGTACGTGCAAGCGCAATTAATGTCACAATGTCACGGACCACCCTTCTGTCACTGGACTCTCACGCTCTCAAGGGGCTTTTCACGTTCTAAAAAAGCTTTTTCACGTTCTTGGGTGTTTTTTTCACGCATGGTCAACAATTTTCAGTCGACAATTATAAGACAGAATCAGACAGACGGCAAATCACTAGATAACAAGAAATTTTCTCAAATGGTGACCAAATTCTGAAAGGGCTGTTAGTTGCCTGGAAGGGCCGCTGGTTACCTGGCGAAGCCGATTGTGAAAGACACGCCAGGCGTGGACTTTAAATGATTTTAACAGCACAGGAACAAGTGCCTCTCCTCTCCACGCTTCCAGAAATATTTCCGTTGCTTGGCGTGTCCCTTGGTCTGGGGATGTTTGAGCGTGACGTTTGAAGTTCAGGATGGCGCTCTCTAGCTCCATGTCGACCGCATGTCCTCAGAGGTGGAACAGATCTGATGCGGCAGGCGCAGGATTGCCGCCGCCTGTGTGTTCGTACAGCATTTCTCGATCAAACATCTGGTGCCTTGGTGAACATCAGAACGGCTGGTAAGCGGATGTTCATCATCCATTGGTTTCGGCCCATCTGAAAATGAAGTCTTATTGATGTAAGGGGCTAGTTTTCCCGAGCATTTAACGTCCAGATGCTCTAGGTGAGTGATGCAGAGTTCCCACTCGCGACTTTCAGTTTGTAAGGGGTTTGCTTTTTGGAGACCTTGGTCGGTGGAAATCGTCTCATTCAACCCTCCTGTGCACATCCTGCGGGAGAATGTATTTCAAAATCATGTGCACGCAGACGCGGTTAGTCCTTGTTGATGAGACATCCAAACTTTGGGTCTGCTTGTCCCTTTCAACACAGGCGCAGTCAAACTCGGACTTTGTTCCTCGCTTGATCCGAACCAAGTGGAAAATCGGACCATCACGGTGTTCATGCTGTGTGCGCAAAGCAGATCGCGTTTCAGCGGGGGCTCTGGAGAGGTTTTCAACGGATTTGGGTGCAAATGACACCTTCATCTGCAGGGGGTGTCCCCCTATCATGACGATGGAGGGGAGACTCCGCCCATGAGTTGTCCAGTGGTGACATGTGTAGCAATCTGAAGATGCTTTGTGTCAAATTGTAAGATGTGACATGTACATCGCATTGGCAGCAGAGTGGCGCAGTGATGCGCAGTGGCACCGGGCTCGCTCCGCTTGAAAGTACCATGCAGAAGCAACAATATTCTGTTCAATGTTTGATAGCCCGTAATCTTTTCTGACATGACCACAGAGTCGTGGCGCAGGCGCCGGAGGAAAAAATGAAGCAGCGACTGCGGCCATATCCGGGGCGTAGTCGCTTCTTGTGTGCATTCGGCTGCCTGGTCTGCGGATAAGCTTTCTCACAGTTTGGCCACGTTCCATCAATTTCGCATATTTCCAACGTTTCTTGTCGGGGCTTGTGGTTGTTTCATGATGCCAAGATGTCAAGACTTGACCAGATGGATAGGTAGAAAAACAAGGCAGGTACAGAGGCAAACCAGTTGCACGGGAAAATAGATAGCATAGATTGAATCAACAGGATTGATAGTTTAGATATACCGGATAGATTGCGCCCCTTAGAGGGGTTGATAGTTTAGATATATACAGTTAATATACAGAATAGATAATCGATAAATATATAGATAGGTAGACAAATCGATCGATAGAGAGAGAGAGAGAGATAGATAGGATAGATAGGTTAGATAGAATAGAAAGGATAGATCGGATAGATAGGACACATAGGATAGATAGGCAAGATAGGATAGATACCGGGTTCTTCAAAAAAAGCAGCCATCCTGTCAATCTCATTGCGAAGAAACTTGCGTGCCCCCTTTGCCCAATTCAATGTTGTTACCGCGCTTTGCTTGGAAAGGCCTTCAAAAAACAGCGATTTCGGTTCGGATGGGGCAATCAACATTGATCAAGGGGGCGCGGGGGGATCAGGTGTGATGTGACAACCTGTAGGAGGATGGCTGTTTTTTTTCTGAAGAACCCAGTAGGATAGATAGGATCGATAGGATAGGTAGGACAGGATAGGATGGGATAGGATAGGATAGATCGATAGAAAGATAGATAGAGAGAAACAAATGGATGATTATAGAAAGCTTTAGATAGGTATAGATAGATAGTAGTGATAGATGATGCATGATAATGATAGATCATGATAAAGAATGACAGATAATGTTAGATCATGATAGGCAATGAGAAATAGTAAGAAATAAGGAAAGAACATGATAGATATGAAAGGTAATGGTAGATAGATAGACGGAGTTGTGGATGGACGGATGGATAGATAGATAGAAAGACGATAGACAGACAGATAGATTGATAGACAGATAGAGACAGAGAGAGAGATAGAGCGAGAGAGAGAGAGAGAGAGAGCGATGGGTAGACAGGTAGGCAGAAAGGAAGATAGATAGATCGATGCATAGATAGATACGTACACAGACAGATAGATAGGTAGATAGGTAGATAGATGGATCGATAGATAGATGGTTAGATAGGTCGATAGATACAAAGATAGATAGACTGATTGACAGACAGACTGACAGATAGATAGATAGATAGACAGAAAGATCGATAGATAGATAGATAGATAGATAGGTAGATAGATAGATAGATAGATAGATAGATAGGTAGATTGTTGGATAGATAGATTGAGAGGGAATGAGATAGATAGATAGAGGGACAAAACCATAGAACTATAGAAAGATAGGAAGATAGAAAGAGAGTAAGATAGAAAGAAGAAAGAAAGAAAGAAAGAAAGCAAGAAAGAAAGAAAGAAAGAAAGAAAGAAAGAAATAACAAAAGAAAGGAAGAAAGAAACATGGAAAGATAGGTAGACAGGAAGGCAGAAAGGAGACAGATAGATAGATAGATAGATGGATGGATGGATAGATAGATAGATAGTTAGATAGATAGATAGATAGAAAGATAGATAGATAGATAGCTGGATAGATATATAGACAGACAGATAGACAGATAGATAGATAGACAGATAGATAGATAGATCGATAGATAGATCGATAGATAGATGGATCGATAGATAGAAAGATAGATACAGCCCGAGCGCTGGTCAAGAATCCGAAAGCTTGAGGCCCAGGGTCCCTCAAACTCTTTTTTAAATGCAGGCAAATGTACACCACAACAGGCCGAGGGTCCCTCAAATTCTTTGGGCGTTCTTAGTTATGTATTGCATGCATCTGCACAGTTTGGAGCGAGCTTAAACGAGGTAACGAGGTGGAGTTGGCAGATTTGACAAGAGGCATGCAAAAAATGATTTTTTAGAGCCTGGAAAGTTTTTTTTGCAAAGCCGGGCTCATCTGAGTTTCATGAGAGCAGTGCGGAAAAAAACAATTTTTTAGAGCCAGATTTTTTTTTTGGCAAAGCCAGGCTTGTCTGAATTTCATAAGATTAGTATGACTCCTGTAGCGCAATGTTCAGCGTGTCGGACTTCAGCCTTGAAGGTCGAAGGTTCGAATCCCGGCAGGTCTGGCAATACGTCAATTTGTCAATATTGGAAGCATTCCAAGCATGTGCGAATAAAACAATTTTTCGGAGCTTGAAAAATTGTCTTTCCGCAAAGCCTCAGTTTTCTTCAAGTTTTTGGGGAAAACAATGCTTCAGGTCCCCATGTCTACCCACATATTGATTTTGCAAGGGTTGGAAGCAGTCCAAGCATGTGCGGAAAAAACAATTTTTCGGAGCTTGAAAAATTGTTTTTCTGCAAAGCCCGATTTCATCCCATAAGACCATAAGGGGTCACGCCACAAAAAAAAATGAACGGCAAAGGGGAATTGCAAACCTCACGTATACGCAGTAATTTAAGAATTTGGCAATCCTATTCCAGGGTCCCTCAATTCTTAAAGTACTATGTGTTTGGTATAGCTGAAAATATGTAGCCCGCCTTGGACTCGAGCCCCTCAAATTCTTATACAGTGAAGTCTTGTGCAATACTCAAGCTGTAGACAGATTGGTAGACAGACATATAGATAGATAGACAGATAGATAGATAGGTAGATAGATAGATTGTTGGATATATAGATTGAGAGGGACAGAGATGGAGAGATGTAGAGATAAAACGAAGAGAATTATAGAAAGATAGGAAGATAGAAAGAGAGTAAGATAGAAAGAAAGAAAGATAGGTTAATTATAGATAGATTATAGATAGATTATAGATAGATTATAGATAGATTATAGATAGATAGGGTAGATAGGACCATGTTATTTCGGGGGAGGCTACACTGGATTAGGTCAGATCACATCATGTAAGTTAAGCCACAACAGACTAAGAGTAATAGGTGGGTTGAGTCTCTAGCATGGGCATCGAACAACCGGAAACAAAAACGTTTCGGCTCACAGCACACACCAGTAGCTGTGTTGCACAAAGCGTTTGCGCAATATCAGATTAAACCACATAGTTTTTGTTTCGGAGGGGTGCTCGCTTGTGGACAGAGACTCCAACAAACTTCGATTTTAATCATTAGCGAGTCCCTTGGAGTGCACATGATCAACCGTCATTATCTTTGAACACTATTGTTTGCACATAGAATCATTCCTTTTGTTCGGACACATTGACATTGATGTTTTCAGGAACATTTTGTCTTTGAAATCCCGTTTTTTTTTTCATTCCACGTGTTGGCGGAATGAGCGAGGCCATGTAGCCATGGAGAAATTATTGTGGATGGACCCCGGAGGCTCACTTTAACCCACATTTTGGTCCAGCGCTTGGAACTACCGCTGTCGCTCACAGCAGCCACAGCAGTGAGTGATGCCCATGCGATGTTTCCCGTTTCGGTAGAGGGAAACCAAAATCATAACTCACCATGAACAATCTGAGACCAGATTTTTTTGGATGGAGTGACAACCCATTTCTTTTTGCGTGTGAAGCAAAAATATAAGTCCGGAACACCTTGAGTGGACCTTGAGACCAAAACGGATAGATCGAATAGATTTGACATGAGGCAACCCGTCGCAAGTGTTGAAAATATGCAGGTTCAGCCAAGTCGAGTCATCAGCAGCACCCCAGCTATCTGCGTGGTTTCAGATGATCCGAAGGATGGCACTCGCGCACGCAGCAGGCAGACACGTGGGCAAAATGCGTGAAAATTTCTGCCTGAAAAACCCGAGGGTCAGAAGAGTCTTGGCATTTCCCGGGGGCAAAAGATGTTCGAAGCCTGCAAAAATTCAAGTTCAAAAATTGTGAAATGCCAGGACGATGCTTGGTGTTGGATACTTCTAAGCAGATGCCAGCACGGTTGACCGCCATGTTCGTGATGAAATCTAATATTGATGGTTGTTAAACTGATACAAAAAATACCCAAATCTATGGGTTTTCAAAGGGTCTTGACCTCTCCCCATTTGAGAACTAATTTTCGCTTCGTCGCCCTGCGGCCACGAACTCGTGGCCACACTAGTAAGTAACCTCGGCCCAGAGACCACAGACAACGAGGCTTCGATTGAGGCGAATATATTGCCTGTCGTTAAATGACGTGCAGTATAGATTAGTTTGTGGCTCCCGAAAGACATCCCCAAGCCAAAGTTCTGCCCAGAGACAAGGAGGCTCCAGTTCAGGTGAAATCTGGCTGTCGTGAAACAACAATATGACGTGCAGTACAAGCTGGCTTGTGGCTGCTTAAAGAACCCACAGTTTGGCAAGAGCTGACGGATCTTGCAAAAGGCAGCCGTCTGGGAATACGGACATTCAACAGTTTGCACGCCCACGCAGACTCAGAGACAGCATTGTTGGTTCATGGCTACACATGGCTTGGTTTTCAATGCGGACAGGTTAAGATCTTGAATGTCCTGAGAAGTTCAAGTTAGACACTTGCAGTAGGCAGATTTTGCAGCAGTATCTTTGGGAGCATTATCAATATGTGCTGGAAGAAACGACATGACGTACAACCCAATCTAGGCATATCTAGGCAACTATGGACCGGCCCAACTTCTCTAGGCGCTGTCAAATTCTCACCTACAGCGGGTGCTGCCAGCATGCCAGCAACTGCTTGGCTTCAGGTGATCTGAAACCAGATGGGACTCACTATGACTCACTCACATGCAGGCAAAATGCGTGAAAGTTCCTGCCTAACAAGTCTGAGGGTCAAAAGAATCTTGGCATATCTTGGGGCCAAGGAATTCTCGAAACTGAAACCTGCGAAAACCAAACATCAACAGTTGTGAAATGCCCGAGCGATGCTTGGTTTTGGATATTTGCGAGCAGATGCCCAGCATGGTCTGCCGGAAGTGTTTGACATCAAAAGTGCCACAGTGCACTGCGGCCATTGAACCTCACTAGGCCATGTGATCAAGTTTCGTGCTTTCGCCCCTCGACAACGAAGATTTGGCCATTGGAGGTTTTTTTTGGTTGGCAGACCCCGGCTGCATCACAGATTGTGGCCTGTTCTGTAGCCTGGTTTTCTTCGAGACGTTTCAAGTGAGACAACCAAATAAGTAGACTGGGGCTAATTTCTGAGTAGTCCGGACCGGCTGGTGATTTCTGAGCCCTCAAAGCTGACAGCTGGAGCAGGTAGATCGCGCAAGGAAACTAGCTCACATTTTGAGAGACACGTGAAAATCAAGCAGCTAGCAACGCCTTCATACCAGCGCCCTCCTCGGCTTTATGTCATCTTGCCATTCTTTCTGAGAAGACAGTGGGCATACCTGTAGCACGCAAGCAACCATGTGCGCACAGAGCGTTTCCAAGACGACCTTCTGTGTGTTTGGTGGGAAGAATTAAGAATGCGTTTGGAACTGCTAAGAACAGGATGTAAGCAGAGTCTAGAGCCACAAGCACTATAGTCATCCATGCTCATCACTTTGGATTGTCCGAAACATTCCGAAACCATTTTCTGCGGGGAGAGCGGGGATAGCATTGTGAATTGTAGCTTCGATGATTAGCAATTCTGCAAAGGAACAGCGTGGCCTGACTTGACATTCAATTGAAACGAGTAAAGGCCTGCTTGTGCTTCCAGAACAGACTGTGAACTTGACAGCTGCATGAGGTCCGATTTTGCAGATGGGAAATAGTTGCTAGCTTTGATACGCGATTCCAGCATAGAAAATCGAACCGCATGCATTATCTTTGAAGCTGTAGATGCTCCTGAGCCACTTTCTCTGAGAAGCCAGCCTACACTTGCTGTAGACGCCAACTCAGAAGCTAGTTTTGGTTGCGAGACAACAATTTTGCAGGTGCTGGAGGGAACAGCATGGGCTGCAAACCAAAGCAGGTAAGTATGGACCGGCTTGCCTGTCACTCCTGGAAAGCGTCTCCCAATCTGGACGAGCGCGCGTATTTTCGAGGAATGCGGGTTGAAAGCAATTTTCAATGAAAATCTTGGGGCCCTTGGGAAACAAGATCAGATGTAACGCCATCCGGATTGGTGTAGATAGCAGTGTCACTTGGATGACAGCGATTTGGCGCTGAAAGGAACGGCGTGACCTGCCCATTCACAATGCGACTGGGTTTGTAACCGCTATTTGATGTTGGGTAAATTGGCAGTTGGAACATTCTTTCCAGCAAAAGCAGCTGTTGGGGGACGTGTGCGTTGGCTTTTGCAGATGGAACATCAATTGGTAATTGAGGTGCAGGCACGTGTAAGCCAAACTTTTAGCACCAGCCTCATGGCTTTTGCTCCCTGAGCCATGAGAAGCTAGTTCACACTGCCGGGAGGTGACTGAATGCACGTGCCAGCTCACGCCGAGACAGCAATTTTGCAGGTGCTGGAAGGAACAACATGGGCTGCGAACCAAACCAGGCAAATATGGACTGGCTTGCTTGTCACTTCTCTAAAACTCCTCCCGCTTTGGACAGCTAGAGCGCGCAGCTTTTGAGGAATGCATTTTGAATCCTTCAGAATATGGCAAGTAGAGTCTATGAAGCTGGCGCTGCCAGCACCACTTGGTTCAGAACAATTTTCATTGAAATTCCCTGGGAGGCTCACATGCAACCCCATCGGATTGGTGTAGATAGCCCCTCTCCCAGAGCACGTTACATTATCGTACATGCCATGGACCATATGATAGAGGCGATTGATTGCTATTGATTGAAACATCGAGTATGCAGGTTGTCAACTGAATTTTCAATCGTTTTTGGCTGCCTGAGTTGCGAGGAAATTCAAAGCCGTTCAACGCTGTTAAATCCCTTCTACGGAAACATATGTCCGTTCTACGGTTCGTCTACGTGTTTTTTCCGACCACTTGCAACCCTTGATCAAATAAGAATGTATCCATGAAATGGCTTTTGAATCCGGTTTGGGGGCCCTCAGCACCTCAAATTTTGCTTATGATTTGTCTATTGTCTGTCCATGGGTTCTTCCGGGTATGCCAGATTAATCGATATCTATTCCCCAAGCTGGGAAAATAAGAGGTCCCTAGCGAGTAGGTCCACCCTGGCACTTGTACCGGGGAAGAAGGGAACAAAATGAGTCACGAAGCACAAACCCATGTCCTTAGAGGGACGTAAAATCGAAGAACAGGATACTGTAGCAGGCTCACGACCGGATGATAGCGATTTGGCGACGGGAAATGACCGCAAAAAAAGCGTGACCTGCCCATTCACAATACAACTGGGTTTGTAACCGCTATTTGATTTGGAATAACTTGGCAGGGAAATCGATCCTGCAAAAGGCGGCTGTTTGGGACCGTGGGCATGATGGACATGCCGGTTTTTGTCCACAGCTCCAGTCCTAGTACAGGTGTAACTGCCACAAAGTCCCCCGCTTGCACAAATCGGCGGGCAGGCCGATTTAACATGACATTAGAGCCGCAGAATGCCGCAGGCACTGCAGTCAACCTATCTGACCAGGTCTGACCACTTGATTTTAGCAGGCAAGCAGCCATGTGCGCACAGGGTGACCGCAAGACAACCTTCTGTTGGTTTGGCGGGAAAGAGTGCATTTGGAACTCTTAAGATCAGAATGTAAGCAGAGTCATTGTTCAAAGCTACGGTTTTGCCCTGGCCAAGGAGTTTAGAGCTGCGGGCAGTGCAGTCTTTTTAGCTCACCGCTTGGCTCTGGATGGTCCGAAAAACAAATCCCTCGAAAGCCAGGGGTCAAGCTCACATGCAACTACATTTAGATCGGCTTAGATAGCATTGTCAACTGTAGCTTTGATGATTTCGCAATTCTCTGTTTGCTCAGAGGAACAGCATGGCCTCCAATTCAAGTCAGACCACTAAGACCTGCTTGTGCTTCCAGAACACTTCCCACAATTGACAGCTGGAGCGGGGAAAAGGGAAACAGTTGGGGGAGCTTTGATGAGCGTGTGCAGCACTTCAATCGAGCCACGGTTGCTACGTTGAAGCTGCATCTATGGTCCTCAGCCGGCATGGCATTCTAACCAAGCCATAGGGCTTTGGCTGGCCTGAAACTGGAAAGCCACAGGTCAAGCTACACATGGGTCGGTTTAGATCGCATCGTCAATTGCATGTTTGATGACTTAGCAATTCTGCATTGTTGAGAGGAGCAGCATGGCTTACCTTTGGGTTTAGACGAGTGAAGACTTGCTGGTGCTTTTGGAACGGTTTCTGAAATTGACAGCTGGAGTGGGTACATCTTTCAGACGGAAATCACACGAATTCCTGGCATGAGAGCGAACCATCGGCAATCGGGTGGAGTTCCTAGATGCCCTTGAGCTCAGAAGCCACTTCACATTTTCTGCACGCAGCCGAGTGAATTTACCCAGCAACTCAGAGACGACTTTGGGTTGCGAGACAACACTATTGCAGGTGCTGGAGGAATAGCCTGGCCTGCGAACCAAGCCAGACAAGCATGGACCGGCTTGCCTGTCACTCCTGTAAAGCTCCTCAATCTGGACAGCTAGAGCGCGCAGTTTTGAGGAATGCAGGTGGGTTCAATTAAGCAGCTACAGTGGGTAGATTGAGCAGTGTGATAAATAGAGTCAAAAGCCATAGGCACTGCCATCCTAAGGTTCCACCTGGCTTTGAATGGCCTGGACTGGAAAGCCGCAGACCAAGCTCACATGCTGCAGCCTTTCTTGGATGGCAGCGGTTCGGCATGTGCTGGCCGAACCACGCGGCCTGCCAATCCTTTTGGTCCTTAGCGGAGAAAGGCTTGGAACCTCTATAAAGTCCCCACATGTGGACAATTTGGAGGCTAAAGTGGGTTGATCTTGCAACTGGCATTCGTTTTGAGAACATGGATGTGATGGACATGGATTGTTGTCCGGCAATTCGCGTCCCAAATTTGACGCCAGTATTGGGTACAACTTACCGCAACCATTCGGGAAAATCGATGTAAGTGTCTTCGGCATGTAAATCGAAGCGTTGGCAGCCTCAGTGCTTTTGCCCGTGAGCAACTGTCTCTGAGAAGCCGCTTCACTCTTGTTGCGCGCAGCCGAATGAATGCACACGCTGATTCACGGGCTAGTTTTGGTTGTGATTTGGAATATTGTGTGAGCAGCGTCCATAACCTCCCAAATGTAGCGATCTTATGAGGGGTGTTAAAGTAGCATTCCTTTGCGAAAGCTAAAGCCACACTCGCGAAAGATTTCGCTAAGAATAGTTTTTGCGAAAGCTCAGCGGTGAAAATGCACATTTGCAAGAATATATCCCAATCACATGGATGCTGCAATAGAAAAACTGCACACCTTGAAAGTGTCGCAAAAGGAGAGGTGAAAGAGAATTGCAAAAGAATGAAGGAAGGTTTCGGAAACGGCTCGGTTCACATTCTGGCGGGTGGCCAACTCATCACAAGCACAATTGTTTACAATCGTGCGAGCAGAATCCGCAAGCTTGTTTGATCAGGAAGCAAGCTCTCTGGAAAGACGAGAGACAAACTCATGGCATGGACCTAGATATAGACAGAAAGCCTTAGACTTGTTCGTTCTGTGATAGCGATTTCAATCCACTTTCTGTGCAGCAACCAGCAGGGAGGTCCTTTCACTGTTGGTTTGACATGATCATGCGCAATGTTTTGGGAGAAGGCCAGAGGCAACGTCATAGTGCTTGTGATTGGCAATCATTTGTGCTGCAAGAGACATTCTGGGTTAAAACCCGCTTCAAAGAGATTGTCTCTGCTCAAAGGAAAACTTGACAGCTGTAGGCTGTAGTAGATCTTACATTTTAACGTTGTTGCATGGCACGACTGGCGCCCTCGTCCGAGAGTGAGCCTTACAGGTAACGACGGTGAATGTACGCGGTCGCATTTCTCCGAAGAAACCAGGTAATCGGGTAGGCTGTGGGCTCGCGGACCGCCGCGGACCTGCGAAGCCAAGATTCACATTGCAACTTGCAGCCTGCTGCCAGCAGATGTCAATATAGCTCCTGAAAACACCAGAACAAGTTAACAAGTGTGAGGGATCTGCCTTCCCTATGAATCTCAGTTTTCAGCGAAGTCTGCACCGTGTAATTAGGCTCCGCGTAGTCTTGGGCTGAATTTCCTCACACAATGCCATTGCCAAGGCAGCTGCTTGTGCCGCCGAACTGGGGAAAGGTGTAGGGTTCCAAGTGATTACTCAACTGTACTCCTGACGAATTCCGCCCAACTTGACAGATTAAGATAACACAGTAAGAGTTCCTCTCCAACTTGAAGCAATCCTGCGGAGGATCGACATGCCGTGTGGTCCAAACGCACGACCAAAGGAAGTGCTTTTAATGCTTTGCTGCACCTTCCTACCTGCGCCTTCCTGCAGTCGGATGCGCGGAAAACAATCGTGGTTGATGGGTCGGAGAAGATTCCGCTGATGGCACTCTGCATTTTTGTTGTGCGCATGTGGTCTCTTCGGCAAATGTATAGATGCTCTTGCCATCTCTTGCCCCACATTGAATGTAACGTTTTCACCTGGTCATGATGTAGCACTTGCCAAGCAGCGATACCGTGCTCTCCAAGTTGAAGTCATTGCTGCAAAGAACCCCTGCTGTTCCTGCCGGCGCCGCCCAGATTGACAAGGTTCCCCCTTGGGTCGTGTCAAATGTATCAAGAATCGACCGGAACCATTTCGAAAAGAATCAGCTTCGAAGTTCCAAACGCAAATATCAAGCAAAGTTCATGAACTTGGGCCGTGATCAAGATGTGCAGCTTTCGTGTTGTACTGCAAAACTAACGAAGATCAAGATGTTTCCAGGGCTGAGGCTGCCCCAGATTCTTCCACACCTCACTGATCCGACACGGACCTGCAGGGATGGTCCGAGGCTCACAGCATTGCCATTGCCAAATGTGGCACTGCGCTCGTCAACTGTGCCTGAACCTTCCTTCGATACATTAAAAAGTGCTCAGAAACAAAAAAACGCTCATTTCCAAAAAAGTGCTACAATAGCTCAAAAAGTGCTCATTTGGTTGTTTCATTTTGTTGGGCACCCCCACATGTTCAAACAGCCGGATCCCCAAGCATTCTTGCAACATACATTGACACAATCACATTATTCTTGGGATCACGCTACTTGGGCTCTCCACAACCAACATCATTCGCCGCTGCTGCAAGTAAGTCATCAAATTCACTTAAAATCAAATTCTTTTGAGCTTGGTCCCAATGTGCATCCTCCCCAGGAAGCATAAATTAGGAGATGGATGCTAATTTAGATGCAAAACTCGCTTCCAGGATTGGCCTCAACTAGCTTGAGTGTGGGCTAACTTCGTGGATTTCTCCAAGAGTTTAATAGATCCATAGGTGCAAAATGGGTTAGAACCCCAAAAAGTGCTCATATCCATTGAAACCACCAAAAAGTGCGCAGACCCTTAAAAAACGCACAGGAATGGCAGAAAGTGTATCCAACCAGGGGTTTGCCAGAAAAAAGTGCTACAATGGAATCTCCAGATTGCCATTGCCAAATGTGGCATTGCGCTCGTCAACTGTGGTCCAAAGCACTTCCGAGAAGTTTCTCAGAGCTAGCTGCGCTAGGTGGTTTCAGAGTTCAGAGTTGTTGCTTTTTTTCATGGTACCTGGGATGTGGATCCAAAATGACTGATATTTTTGGCGCAGGTCGAAACAGAAACCACCAAGCGGTCAAGTGATTTTGGGCATTGATGCACAACATAAGTAGATTCGTCCCTGGTGGGATTGCAAGTTGTTCGGTGGGCGCCAGATTGCATCTCACATTGCCATCCGGGCTGGAACGCAGTTGCAGCGATCAAAAGGCACCCGCCACTCAAGCTCCAGTTGACCACATGAAGACTTAGTCGTCGAACCGTATAAACCCCGAGGAGAAACCGGGTGCTGTTTGCAAGACAGTCTTCGCGAAATTGTGAGGGCACAGCGAAGATTGTGTCCCAGAAAGTGATGCAAATGATGCAATATTTACTGGCGAGCAGAGAGAAGAGTGAGAGGCGAATTGCATTTTCTCGCCCTGAGCCAGGTGAGCTCCTTTGTTTGCCTCAAAACTTGTGACTTCAAGCCAACATGGCAACACCTGCTATGAACGTCAACATCGCCAACCAGGAGACCCTTGGAATAATTTTGTCTGCACCTAAAGAGGTGATGGACATATAATCAACGAAATCAAGCAAGGTGAAATCATCTCTGAACGTCGGATGACTCGCTTTTCCTCCATATGACATCATCACGTTTTTTCGTGTAGGATGACTGTTTGGGTATGCTTTGCTGAGGACTGAGGCCCATGTTTTAACCTATCCCACAGCCAGTATGGATCGTTCGATCGTCAAAGTACCATCAGCAATCATCAAATTCTGGCTAGATGACATCATCTTATCAAAAAAGCGCAGTCAAAGTGGATTTATATGTCGCTTTTTGTCGGTACTGTTTTGTCAACTGTGAGCTGCTGACTTGTTTCAGATTACCAATCTAAGCGTCAAATCGTCAAAACGCTGAATGACAGATCTTTTTCCGTCATAAAATGTTTCTTAATTCCACCAAACTTCGCCATCTGGAATCCCAGGGCATATTTCGACGTATCCACAGCATAGAGACAGACTCGGTCAGCTAGCGAAATAAGGGATCCAAGCTTTGCAGGCAGAGAAATCTTTTCCATATATGCCGGCCCTTCTTCTAGAAAACAATGACTTCTTGCCGGGGCTTGGGGCACCCATGCATGCAGTGAAGATTGCGCGTAATGAAAAATGGAGTGAGTCCTTGACATATTTGAGTTCCGTCAAAAACCTGGGGGTTGCATGTATGCAGGCTTTTGAGACGTGCCTGTCCCCACTACTTTTTTGGTCTTCATCTTAAGAAGCCGTCCTGAAACTATCTGTGGCTGTTCAAGTGCCTGCTTTTCCGATTTTGATTGGCCCTGCGCAGTGACCGATTATAGACATCGTTTATATGTATATAGATATACGTTTCGTGAGCCCTTCTGATAGAACGATAACCAAAGCCTTCTACCCAAGATATGCTGATTAAGTCTGTGCGTGGAGCGATGGACGGAAAACTTCCACTCAGATATGTTTTTTTTGTTGACCTTGCCATTGAAAGATAGCAGAAACCTTCTGCTCTGAGATGGTCTTGGTTGATCCCTTTAGTTGAATGCCCTCGCTCGCAGCAAAACCGCAAGTGTGAATCATTCCTGGCTAGCCTGTAGTAAAATGGAGCCAACCATACACAGCAAGAGAAGGTTTCTCTTTGCCTTTGATACGCGGATTTTCTGTTTCTTGGTCGCCCCGAACGACAACCGGAACGACAACAGAACGATAACCAAAAATGCAATTTTAGGGCTAGGCAAGGCAGAGACTGGTTTCAAGATGAGTTTTGTGAATGGACATTCCACATAGAATATAGAACGTGCTTGTGGTGTGCGGGTGTAAAGACCAGATTGGGTAATCCTGAGATGCTTTTCGCGCTCTAACTTCCATACGCAGGTGCAAGAGCAAATTGCCTGTGGGATGCATTCCACCTTCATTCAAACTGCTGCAGGAAAGGGCAAAACTAAACTGCCTGTGAGATGCTCCCCACAGCCTGACCAAAGCAGCAAAGTACAAAGACATACAAAAAGCATACCGTCAGTGAGATGCGTCCACCATATGAGCACGCAGCAGTTGCAGCCCCTAAGGAGCTTCCACAGCTCATGTGCAACGCAAGGGTGCAAAACTCTTACCAAGACAGATGCTAGAAAGGTCGACAAACAGACGCACAAAACTCTGAAATAAGTATAGCCCAATGCGGCCACTCTTCCGCAGATGCTGAATATTTCCACGGCGTTTCCAGATGTTCCGCACCTATTTCTGAACCTCAGGTTTTTAATCGCTTAAATCCAACATGGGACAC